TATGTTCATTTGGTGCATGAAAGCTGAGAACATGATTATTTTATGGACGGAAGCATAGATCTCTCATCCCCTTCCCTATTTCCAGTGCTAGCAGCCATTATAAKAAGTGATAAAAACTGCAAATGCCTCTGTGTATGCCTGTCGTTCAAAGAACACCTCCTAAGACTCCCAGAATACCCTGATTTTGTACTTATTTTCTATTTTTTTTTCTCCCTCCGTTCCCATATCACATTTAATCTTGAGTCTTTGCACATCTTTGTAATAGCAAACAAGAAGCCTGGGAACTCAAGACACAAAGGAGCTGCAACACCTAAAACTGTGCCACAGTAGGTGGCACTCTTCCCTTTAAAACCTAAAGCAGTGCCTCGGGGGTGTGCTGCCATATTGACATGCTGCAATCAAGACTCAAAACCAAAGCATCCCTCATCCATGGATAATTCAAGATCTCTTAACACTGCAGAAACATAAATCCTAAGTTATTTCCACGGCCACGGGTAACACAGCATATAAAGGAAATAGAGGCATGCAAACTCTGCTTTGCCAGGTTTTTGCTTGAACTGGAGTAGTTCACTTTTATCTTCACAGACCCTATGAACATCTAAGTAGCTCCTCACTGAAGGGACTGGCGCAACAGACTAAATATAAAAATAATCCTCTAGAGACCTGTCAGGTTCAGGTCCAGGCTTTCCCCCAGCTGCTTGTTTTTGTGTTAGAACATTGTTCACGGTTGCTGTACGCTGTTGATCAGCRGTCAGACTCTGTGCTACTGACTACCTTCCTGCCAAAATGTCCCACCCACCTCAGAATAATCCTAATACTCAGAATTTATGAGCAAAAAATGCTCAAATGGTCACTAGTTAAAAGCACTGCTTATGACTGTTACTTTTCTRCTGCCCTGTTAAACAAAGCTTGTCACAATTCGTTGGATGTGACTTGCTCCATGACACACAGATCTAGGTCTGACTGAACATTAAGGATCCATCCAGAGCAAATGTACTCACGGGATAGCTTCAGGTCCTTAACAAGTATTGATTCCCATCAGAGAACAGTATTTTCAGTTTGGGGTTTAAACAAAGAAAGGTCCCCATCTAAGTAATATTTCAGCAACTCCTTTTACTCTCAGAAAATTATTCCGGCAGGCAAGGAAGGCGTTCCTGGTTCAGCAAAACTTACTTGGGCGAATGACTGCAAAGGATGARGGCTAAAGATTTACTTGATCAATAAATGAATCGTAGGAGGTCAAATATTGCAGCATCTGTATCAAATTAGGATAGTGAAAACTTCTGGTTTAGTATGGCTCAACTTTTCTGGCATATGTTGCATCTAATATAATTTCAATGTTGTTTTCTAGAATTTACTGGCTTGTTTGTTTTTCAGCACTCTGCTGTAGCGTATGGGAATCAGGTACTATACACAAAACATTTGTTTCGGTAGTGTAACAATGTGTTCTTGCAAACAAGTTGGATTCGAGACATGTATTAGCTCAGGTCAATTTAATCCTAAAACATTTTATGTCTCCCCTGCTGTAGACCATGTGAGCTCCTTTCATGTGTATTTATGTATGGCTCTTCAAAACAAGATGACAAATTTCCCCTTCCCTTCACAAAACATGCACAAGCAAGTTCACAATCACCTACTTCCTTTCTAATGCAAACAGTTCTAGTCTGGATTTATCACAGGTCATTAATTTGATCTCTCTCCTTCCCTTTTCCTTTTTACTTTTTTTTTWWAATTCTTTTCGAGAAYTTAATGAAGGCAACTCCTTGTTCTTAGCCTGAAGGAGGTGTCCTTCAGTCTTAAACACTGGTAACTGCAATCTTCTATTTACAAACATTAAGGATGGCTATGGCTAACATTCACCTTCATCTTCAAACTGCTAGAAATGTTCACTAGACATCTCCCTCATAGATGTCAGTGCCCAATYATTTTTTGGTTCAAGCAGTATGAGTTCAGTCGATAAGGCTGATTTGCCATTAAGTAAGAATATACAGTTTTAAAGTAGACTTGAAAACACATAGGACATCTGTGACTACGTAATTTGTAGTCCCTGAAAGTATTCACCCGTGCTTCAAGCGTTTGATGCCTAGCACATGAAAAGCAAATGTTGCAAATACACATTATGGTATTATTTATATTTTAAATTTTGTTTAGCATTTAGACAGAAATCTCATCTGGGCATGCTGCTCCTGAACTAAGTTTCCACRAATGTCAGAGATTTTCACCAGTGAAGAGTAGTGGAAGATGGAAATCAACTTCTTTATGCACATGAAATTCTTTGGCTTTAAAGAGAGTCATTTCTCTTCATCTTATGAAAAGCTCCACATTAAAACAGGCTCCTATCAGATAAGATGATACCCTACATAGTGAAATACACCTTGGCAAGTGTATTTCTCTAATAATGACAAACCTTCCCCATCAAAACTCTACTGAATCATGTATTTGCTTTCAACCATGTTCAAGGCAATTCCATGAAGAAAGAGGTTTGTCTGGAGCAGACCTAAATTTCCTCACAATATACTAAAGAGTCTCATTTTTAAAAAATTCAAAAATAAAGAAATATAGAAGTTAGCCAGAGCAAGACCATTTTGCTTCTCTAATCTGAAAAAAAAGCCAAAGGAAACTCTGAACGTAACAGCTGCATAAAGCTTACCAAGAGAGCAATGCTACAAAAACTCGATGAATTTTGAGAATTGAATTTAGAATCAAAAGAGCCTGACACTACTGGACTTTGTCATAGTGATGTCAAAGGATTTACTCACTAAGTAAAGATTACTTGGATGAGAATGGTTTACTGGATGACACTTAAATTAAACGAATGCACACCAAAAGCAGTCACTGAATTAATTGTTGCAAAGACAGTGGGAAAAATCACACCTTTGGCTACTATCTTTGAGGTTATGCTAATAATTAATATCATTGCCGGATGGTATACAAAACAAGTTAGCAGAATCTATGTCAAATAATAAGGCACCTCGTGCAGCCCTGTGACAGAAAATGGTTGTGGACATTTAGCACTTCGTTATTTACAACAGCTGCATGCTGTGTGTGCGCCTTTAGAAAATGAAGCATTCACCTTGCTTGCAGTGCCAGTTTTCAGTATCTTTTACAATTTATCACAGAGCTAACTAAAACCTTTATTTTTTGCTGTTCTGTAAGTGAAATAATTTTCTGCAGCACCTAGACATCCGKGCTGCACAGACGCTGGCACAAACGTGCATGTTTACAAACTTCAAAAGCAGCAATTAGCTCGGGAGAGAAAGAGGAGAAAAAATTATCCCCGGAACAAGCGGTCAAGGTTAGAACAAGACACAGACATTTGCCTTAGGAAAACCCAGCAGTTACCGCCTTGCCACTCACCCTGGGATGAGCCAGGCAGGACAGAGGCGGTGGCGAGGGGCACAAGGGCATCTCTACTGCAACCGACCGGGCTTCAGCCTCAGCCTCAGCCCCGCTCGCCCCGCCAGCCCTCCACCCGCACACCGTCCGGTCCACCCCCGGGAAACGCGTCCCTTGAACAGCCAGGCAGTCAGGCAGCAAGAAAAGGGCGGTGGGACGGCCGAGCCCTCACAAGAAGCAGGTACTTTCTTCGTGCGTGATGGAGACCCAAACTTTTCACCGCCCTCCCTGGCGACGGAGAGAGGGGCGGTGCTGACCCTCGGCCGCCCCACAGGCTGCCCGAGCCCCCGCCGCCGCCCCCCGTGCCTCGGCGCCGTGTCGCCAACGCACCCTGCCTTCAGCTGGGAGCCTTCCCTGCCCGTGCAAATAAGGGGACAGGGTGTGTGTGCGCAGGGTGAAACCCCTTCTCTGCTCGGCATCCCTTCCCCTCAGCATCCTGTTCCCTCCTCAGCATTCCTCCTCACCTCGGCATCATCCTGTCCCTCTCAGCATCACTCGCCACCGCAGCATCAGCGGCACGAAGGAGCCCCGCCGCCGGTCCCGCCCGGCCTCCCCGCTGGCCCCAGCGGCCCGGGGCGTTTGCGGGGCGCCGCGTCGCCAGCACGCAGCCCCTGTTGTTCCCCCTTAAAAAAACTTTCTCTTTTCCGCCGCTTCTCCCGTCTGGCCCGGAGCCCGAGGGCGGAGAGGGGCTGAAGGAGCGACAGAAGGGCGGAGGGAGAAGAGCTGGGCTGCCTCGCAAGGCTTCCCGCCCGCCGGGCCGCCCCGAAGGGGTCCGGCCTTCCCCAGCCCCGTCTGCCTGCGCTCCCCAGCCAAGGAGAAGCGGCTTGGCAGAGCCACCGGCCCGTGGGGGAAGAAGCTTGAGGCGCCGGGAGAAAGGGGCGGGGAGCATCCCTACCCCAGAGCCGCCCTCGGCGGGGCTGCGGGAGGGCAGCCGGCAGCCCACCTTCGCCGGGGCCAGGGCGCAGGGGGAGGCGGCCACTGTCCGTGGGGAGCGGGCGGGGAGGTGAGCCCGCGGCCCCAGCCCACGATCGCGAACAAAGCCCGCGGCTGCGCCTAGGGCTGCTCCGCGGAAGAAGTTGCCTCGATTCGCAGCCGCTTCCCCTAAAAATCAGCGCCAGCCTTGTAAAAAAACAATAAATAAATACATCGTCCGCGATTCAACTACACCGCGGGGACGGCAGAGACGGCGGGGTTACGCCTCTACACGGAGCGCCCACATAGTTGTTGTAACAAAGACCCCACCACCCAGCCGCACACGATGCCCGGCGGCCCCGGGGTACGCGCCCGGCGGCCTCGGCCCCGGCGGCGGCGTCCCGCAGCCGGCCAGCTCCCCTCGGTGCCCCGGCGGGTGCGATCCCCTGCCAGGAGGGTTCGGGGATGGGAGGCGAGGAGCCCAGCACGGCGCATGCAAGCCGTGCCAAGGGCTAGGGGGGGCGGACAAYATGTTAGGCAATTGGGGGAAGGGARGGAGGGAAGAAAAAGAGTGGTACAAATAAAAAAAAAGGAAAAGAAAGACGAAGCCACGAGATGCCGGGAAAGTGACAACAGCAAGCGCAGCGTGTGCACTTGCGGGCGSCTCTCCTCCTCCCTAGGCGCTGCAAACGATGTCGAGACAGAAGGCAGCAGCCCGCCTCAAACCACACACCACCCTCGCTCCTTCCGAGCCTGCCGGGCGATCAGGGAGCCTTCCCTTCCGAGCAATCCCAAAACATAAGGTAGGGGTACGGACAGGGGTGTACTGTACCTTTTCGGTGCATGTATCTGGGCAGCTAGAGGACAACTAGCTGATGTAGTGTCCCATTTAGTAATCCATTTTAGGGGATCTCTCTGGGAAACTGGAGCCACTCTCTCCTTTGCAATCCTTTGTCATTACTACATGTGTGCTTTCCGGGGGGATGATATATTTAATATTTCTACTTTCTGAATTGCAAAAGCAATTTGTTCATTTCCAATGATGGGCGAAGAGGGGACTGATCAGGGAGAAGAAAAAAAAAAAAAAAAAAGACAAAAAAAGCGTTAGCAACTCTTCTCCAGACCCAAATTCCACTACGGTACCACTCCAGTAAGTCCCTTTCAGTCGCGCCTCGGCAGGTAAGTCATTTCGGGGTCTCCTGCTCCCTCTCTACCAAAAGTGCTCCCGGTGAGACGGCTGCTTCAGGAAAACTCCGAGGCTGGAGGCACTCGCTGTGCCACGGCAGGGAAGCGTAGTCGCTGCTCGCCTCGGGCTGCCGGGCATTGGACTGTGCGCGGCGAGGACGTGGGAGCCGCTGCCTCTCTCCCTGTCTCCCTGTCTCCCGCCGCTGACGCTCCGTCTCCCGCCGCCCGCCCGCTGCCCCCGGGACGCGGCTCCGCCGGCGGAGGCGGAGACAAAGCGCGGACTGGAGCAGGCGGACGGGAGGGCGCGCCCCGCTCCCCGCCCCGCCCCGCCCCTCCCGCCGCCACGGGCGGGGCACGCGCGCGCAAGCACCGCCCCTCGGAGGCGGGCCCGGGGCGGGCCCGGGGGAGCCGTGAGGGACCCCGGGTGGGCGGGGGCGGTGCGGAGCGGGCCGGGGAGTGGGGCTGTTGGCGGCGCAGCGGCAGCTCGGGCCCCGTGCCGGGCGTCACCGGGCTTATGTGGAGCAGGTGTCTGCGGAGGGCACCCGCCGCCCCCCGTCCACTCGGAGCTGTCGCCGCCTCCGAGCATCACACTCGTTCCGCGCCGGCGGGAGGCGGAGAGGCGGCGAGGGGCTCGGAGATGCCCGCGGGCGGACGGAGTGTGCCGCACCGCCCGCGACAGCACGGTGCGGGACAGGGGCGGCCGGCCGCAGCCTCCCGAAGGACTCGCCCCTTCTCCGCGGTATCCGGGGCCGCTGCGAGCCCCGCGCATGGGGCCGGGACGGGCYGTGCTCCTGTGGGCGCATCCCCCGGGTCCCCGGGGGGAGCGCGGCTGGGGCTGCAGCTGGCGGCTGGCCGTCCGCTTGYAGCCTTTCCCCCTTGCCACCGCTTCAATCGTGCCTCGGTGGTCGCTAGCTCCGCTAATCCCTGTCTCGGAGCCGATCCAGCCGGGAGCAGGAGCAAGGGGCGCTAATGCATTAATCCCCTGTCTCCGTCCCCGCCGAGGCCCCCCGCCGCTGCCGCCGGCGGTAATCCCCCCGGCTCGGCCGCGGGGTGGTGCGGGGGCTGCGCCGGGCACCGCTCCCCGCCCGCCGCGCTCCCGGGACAGCATTCCCGCGGGGGGAGGCGCGGAGCCTCCGCCGGGCCACGGACCCCGCCGGGGCCGGTGCTCAGACCGTGGCCGCCCCTGCATCCTGCCCTCCGCGCCTTTGAGCTTTCCGCTCTCCCCGTGTCCCACTCCTCCTGCGCCCCGCTGGCTTCTCAGAGCATCAGGGCTGGGACGGACAGGCTGCGGGTGGGGGCTACGCWACAAACCCTACAAAATAGCTCAAAGTCGGTGAGATGAAAATCCGCGTGCTCGTTTCTTCGACGGCAGCATGCGTTTCCTCAAGAGTTTTAAAAGTGATTTCCACCCTGTAGATCTCACTGGAGTTAAGGTTGCAAAGAGAGCCTCTGGTTGTTTCAGCGCGAAGGTGTCTTGTTTCCAGGGGATTCACTTACAAGTCCAATTGCTTTAACATGATTTACTTTTTTCTATCCAGATAAGTGACAGAATGCAACTAGAAGAATGGCTGTCAGGTCAYGAAGTGTGGCATTAAAATTAAAATAATAACTTGTTTATGACAGCTGTTTTTTCCTGCCTTTTATTTTCAGTTAATGAAAGGATTCTAAGACATTGGTTTTGGTTCTGTATTTGATTTGGATTCTAAAATTAACCACACATCCATTCAATTTCTAGTTGTTAGATTACAAGGGAAAACATTTGTATCAAGGAAAAGTTTCTTCTTTCCTTTCTGACAGTTTAAACTGAATGTATACTTAGGGTAATTTTCTGACCAAAGGAAGCAAGACCTAATATATATTTTCTTTCTTTCTTTCCCTGAAAATCTAAAACAGAAGTGAGTTCTGCACCAAACAGACTAATTGCTGGGGACAGATAAATTTTACTGAAACAAACTTATCCTAGATCTGAAAGCAATTAGAGAAACCAACTGGTACAAATAATTTCTGGGTACCCGAGCGTGTGTCAGGGGGGTAAACCAGATGAATGTACCTTGATTTGCCAARATTCCTAACCCCATTTCCACAAAGAAGCCCTCAATCATATCATGGTACTTCTTCCCCTGTCAGGAAATGGGAACGGGGACTGAACATAGTCAGGATTTGTGGGGAATACCCATTTCACAATAGCTAAGGCTTGACATTTGATCATTACATTTTGCTCAATCACTACATACATTTTGAGGTGTTCAGAACTGCCACTACCTTTGTTGTGGGTTTGAACTGTAAGCAGATACAGGTTTGGCCTTTACTGTGTGCTTCAGTTACTTCACAAATATTTCCGCAATACTGAGTGGTTTGTTTTATGCTTGCATTTCTTCATTAATCAAAAAAGGGTCTCTGACAGAGAATACTTTCCCCTGCTATATTTAGGCTTTTGAAAAATACAGACCAGATTTTTATACAATGAAAGTTCTGCAAGAAGCAGCACTAAAATGATCCTATTTTCCAGATACTGGTACTAGCTAAGGCATCAGTTACTAAAAGTTTTATATTCATGTTCTTTTACAGAATTGTTTTTCATTCATCCATTTTCTTTTCCTGTCTTTAATTTCCAAGCCTGCRCTGCCTAACTTCACTTAAATCACATACTGTAGCCCTTTTTCATTTAGCCCTCTGCCAAAATGACACCCTGCTCTTCTGTCCTTCATTACTACTCGTTTTGCTCTAGAAACTCAGAGCTGTCTTCATGGCTTAAAACCCACCTAAATTCTTTTACCTGACTCCCGGTTCCCTTCCTCATTCAGTACTCAATCCAATAAATATTCTCCTCATCTTTTATCTCCCAGCAARCTTTTTTAGGCTATTTTAATGGAACTTTAATGTCAATCTCAATTCTTCATGCTGTCAGATTTTCTGAAAACAGGGACACAACCTTAGTTGTTTTGCCTAGACTAGTTAACAATTGTGGGCTACTCACATGGGCTTGGGGAAGGGAATTATTACCCTTATTGATGGGAAAAGACATCTTTTTTTTTCACTGTCTGCTCTTTGGCAGCTGCAGCGGTAGAGTGCGGTGACAGAGKCAGGAATTCTTGGTGAGGTCTCCATGGAGCTGTGCATTTTAAAAGCCCTATCTGAACAATTCACACAAGCTATACAGAATTTCTTCAGCTCCTTCCAACCCCTCTGCAAGGTAGGTCTCTACCAAAGATTTGACTTCAGTTTGTGTGAAAATGTTTCCTCTACCCCTTCTTCCTAATCACATGTGCAATATTTTGACTTGAAGTTTGTGAGACACTTGGCCTGCATGGGGGAAGGGCATTTGGGTCTTCTTGTCTGGCAGCAGCTCCCTCTTTCAGCTGGGAATGTGCAAAGTTTGCTGCTAATTTGCATGCTGAGCCCCACATTGTATATTTCGACTGTTTTCTCATAGCGATGTGATTGTAGGAACAGCATCCTGTTAGATACAGCTCTCAGAAGCTGGGATACTGCAGGGGTGCAATGGCACCTTGTTGAGTTCATCCCCATTCATGTGCCTTCCTACATCAGAGCATTCAACATATATGCAACATGCAATATATGCAACATTCCCTGATTCCAGTTGTTGCTGTCAGGTTCAGTTCTGCTTGTTCTTGCCACTGTTTCAAAAGTTCAGAGTGCAGCAGAGTTTTACGTTGTCCAGAAACAACACAAATGGCAGAACTGAGGACTTTGAAAGCTGTCTGGGAAATATTAGGGGGTTTTGCCTCAAGGAGGGTACGGGATAGTTTTAATGTCCATGAGGCACTTAAAGCCTGTAGTCTTAGGAAGGCTTGAACTCCATTTTCCTCTTTCCTGCTTTGGTACCAGAGGAGATGCTTTTACCTGTGGAGATGTATTTCACCACAAACAAAAACAAAATGTTGAGTGCAGGCACATCTTAATATAAAATAAGTGTTGATTTCTTTAATCTTATAGCAATACTGAAATCTCATCAAACTGCAAATAYGATTTTTGTCAAGACAAGATTATTGAATGCCTGGCAAAGTAATTACTCCTACACAGAGAAAAATAAGATCTTTMTTTTAACCACTTCAGGGGAATTCGTCAAACTCAGCTGTACTCTGAAAGTGTACTCTGAAAAAGTGGTTGAAAGTGGGGAGATTTTTCATCAGCTCGTAGCCATACCTAGTGCAGCTAAAGGAAACAAGAATTAGAAAAATCAGCACACACCCAATTCTCAGCCTCTTAGTGTRAAGTGGACACAGGTCTTTTGCCCAATAAACTTGTGCACAGTCAGGCTCATAGTTTAAAAGTATGAACGCTAGACATTTTACAGCTCTTTCTGAGCATGTAAAATTTGATGAGATTTATAACAATGAGTTTCCCCCATGCTTGTGATTTTTAATGGTTGGTGAATCCTTGCAAAATTCTTCCTGAAAATAAGGACCTTACCAGAAATGCCACATTGTTAGGTTGCTGAATGGCATATATGAATTTGCTTTTTCTTCAGACAGCTTCCAAACGGATACTCAGATGACASTAGTTTGACATGGTGTGTGCTCAACAAGGAGCATCCAGGGTATTCAAAGTTCAGCAAAGTAGTTTGAAATATTCGCTGGAAATACCAGTGCAGGATTTACCTCTGCTGGGAACCCAGAGTGCCTCTGTGCCAGTTCTGCACAGGTTGGTCTTTGTAACTGTGGAGGATTTTGGAAGACGAACAAGGCTGCAGAGCAGATGTTTTAAGCAGGAGGCTGCCCTGGTCAGCCCCTGTTGTACTGTGCCAGAAAAATCAGCAGAAATTCATGTCGCGCTGTGAGCAACATTCGCATGTCACTGTGTCATCTAGTTCCCAGAAGAGGAGAGTGTTACATGATGGTGAAATAAGCAGAGAAAACTGTGGATAGTGGCTGGACCATATGGTGAAGGGAACGGTTCCCCATTAAAAAAAAAAAACAAAAAAACAGGGAAAACAACAGAGCATGTAAGATCAATATGGGAAAGTGATGTAGAATTTAACAGTTGTTAAAACCAGCAGTAATTTGCAGTGATTCATTATCAAATTACTCTAAACACACATGGGCCAAATCCTTCAGTTTAACGTAATCCTATTAATGGTAGAGCATCCGTAACAATTTCACCTGCTAATGATCTGTTTTGTAAAATTTCACCAGGAAGGGATTTTATGGTAATTTTTAACTAGCCTGAAGAGCTCCACAAGAGGACTATAACTGATCTGTTGTATTCTGTAGGCACTTAAGTTCAAGTCATTCGAAAAATTATTTGCTATTGAACTCTATTGGATTTTCCATAAAGGGAAACTTAATTTCTTCACACATTGGATGTTGATGATCTCACATTAGTCTCTTGTAGTTAGAGTCTCTGAGAGGAAAATTAATCAGAAACTCTAGAGAGAGCATCTGAAGAGAGTTTTCAAGGTTTCTTTCCCCTCATTTTTGCTATAGGAGAAGACAGCATSCTCCTCAGTTACTTCATGATGATTTAATTTCAAGTATTGTGCTCCATGTTTTTAGTTCTGTCTTTCAGAAGATCCATAATTCCAGCTGTTCCAACATTGCTCTTAGGTAGTGCATCCTTTTTGAGTAGTGAGGAACTGAATAAAATGTTTCTCTCAGCTGCTGTTTCTCTTTATATGATTATGTTTTGACTCTAACTATTGAGTTGTCTGGACAGTAAGTGAAGAGATGCAGAGAAACTCACTGARAACTTGTAGAATATATTTTAATTGAAAAGTTAAAGTAAATTCATACTGTTTTCTTCAGGTAAATCCTCTATTCTCCTTAAGACTCCTTAAAATCAGGCTTGATCAAGAGCTTAAGGGAAACTGAAGAGATTTCTTTTTGGCTTTGCCTATGATTTTGCATTAGATAAAGGGGTTCAAAGTGAAAAATTTCAGTGGCTCCCCCCCAAAAAAAATGAACATTTCATATCTATGTGGGAGAACCAAGCACAAAATTATCATAGTTGGAAAGATGGTACTGAAACAAGTAAATATTATAATAAATAAATAGTTTTATTTGTTATAAAAATTATAATAAATAAAAATTTAAATAAAATTTCAGCACCAAACTGAGAGGAACCCCAATTTTGAATTATAAGAAGTAGTTAATTTAGTAAGTCAAAATCATTACTTCCAGTGTCCCTTCAGCTGAACTGAGCCCTGAGGAACACTGACTAAATGGTATTGCCAATACAATATTACCAAATAGAAACAGTTAATGGGTTCAGTATCGAAAATAAAGAGGCKTTATTACTCCTACCCAATACACACAGACAGACACACACAATTCATAAAATTAACTCTCATCCAGCTGACTTTTTTCTTTTTTTTTAAACCCTCAAATTGATGACAGTGGGTGGAAGAAGGGGRTTGCAACTGACAAACTGAAAAGAAGAAGGAGGACAGAGGAGAAAAGAGGAGCCAGGATAAAATGGAAGAGCTTGGAAGACAACTCCAGCTGAGATTTGTGACTGTGCAACAGTCAAGAAAGAAGGAAACAGGAGAGAAGGGCAAGAAGGAGGGAAACCAGAGAGAAGTGATGGGGAAAGAGTGGAAAGCAAATAATCTCTTATGTGCTGCAGGAGATTAGCAAGATAAACTAAAGCAGTGAAGGAAGAATGGGACTGGTTAGACCTTGACCAACCAATGGACCTTGACCATTGAGCAGCTGATTGAAAATTATCTTTTCAGTCAGATTTCATCCTTCRATTCTGAAAGACTGCTGAATTAAAACAAGAAGAAATGGGAGATTGAATTGCTCTATGTTTATACGTGCTTTTAAATAGCGTAAATTTTTGTACATACTAAAGGAAGAATTGATGTCAAACACATTGTGGCCTGCTAAGATACAGAAGAGTGACTGAAAATGTGTTGAAAAACATGACAAAGTCTTTGGGAAGAAGCTGTGTCCTCCTTTTGGCACAGCGGTTTTCATGAGTGTCAGTCACCTCTAACACAGCCTGATGATCTCTGGACCCAAATCTGTGTGGAAAAAAGTGACACAGGATAACCAAAAAATAACAGTGCTATGGGACATGGGATCTGTCTAGAAAGGGACCAGCTTGGCAGTCATCATCTCTGGGTGTGCTGGATGGAGTTTGGCTCCTCTTGTCTCACAGCTGTGAGCAAAGTGAAATCAGCAGGTGAAAGGAAATGCGTCTCTCTCTCATCCTCTCTGTGCACCTTAMCTCACCAAAGCTGAGTTAATCTCCCTGGTCTCTCACAGAGAAGAGCACAAATTTGTTTGTCTCAAATGGAAAACATGGGATGAGCCATAAATTTGTAGCACAGTGTGGTTTTTTTTGGATTACAGTGGGGAGTTGATGGGGTCTCCTGAGTGATTTCTGAGAATGCTGTCTAGCAAAGATATTCTTCAGGAAAAAGAGCAGAAATTGATATTTTCCTCTGCTTGTCCGTAATCCCTTTTGCAAAGAGAACAGATCAGATGGTGTTTCTAGCCCTAGTTCCATTGACTGGTCTAGAAGGGGCTCTCTTTTGGCTTTTTCCTTTATTAGATGAAGGAAAGTAATAGTAAGAATTCTGGAAACACATAACCAGTAGTCTGGATTTTTCTGGATCATTATCTGTAGTSTGCTAATTCAAAAAGGTTTTGCTCAACAAGAAGTTGCACTGAAGCTCATACAGAAAGGTGAGGAGTTGGATGTGTCTTACTCTGCRCTGATAGCCTCTGGCCCATCTRAGGATGATGATGATGAGAGGAGCAGCCCCTCCCTTCCTCCCTCCTTCCAGGCTGGAGTTTCCTGGTGATTGTTGGAGCTGAAAAGCATTTGCTAATGAGGCCTGCACTATTAGCAGGGAACAAGGGAAGGAGAGTGGAGACTTCCTGTGTTTGCTCATTCCTGGCAATCATTACCTAGCTGCTGCTCCCAACTGTGACTCTCCCAGGTAAATCACAGCCTAGACATTCCAGTCCTGCCTGAGTTTCAGTCACTCTGCTGCCCTGATATTAGTGCAAAAATTGAGAGGAAGTGAGTAAAAGCCATTTGGAAGATTAGTCACTGTTTCAACAAAAAGCACAAGAGACCAGGCAGACACTGACTGCTGGGAGAAGTCTGTTTAACTCACTGTGAAAAAGGGTTTTCCACTGTTTGAAACTGCATATTTGATTTCTGACTCAAATCGTTGTTCTTTCCATAAACCACCACACCAAACTTTTTACCAGTCTTTTAGAGTGTGCTTACCAGGGCATGTGTGGAAGTTTAGTAGATAAAGAATACCTCATGGTTGGAGAAGTCCAAGACTATGCATAAAGGAGAAGAAATGTGGAGGAAAACATCAGCTTGCATGCAATAAACCACAGGCATCCTCGTTTATGTGCCATCAGTAATGAAACTCCCACTAGCTGAAAAACAAATTAACATGTTATTGCCCAGGGTATCATTTATAGCAATATTCTTAGTGACTAACTCTTTATTTGGTCTGTCCTGAAGACAACATTGTTCCTCATTTTTGGCAAGAATTTCCTGTGGATTCTTGGAMTGTACCTTCAACTCTGTGTGGAATATGCATTACTGTTCACAGAAAATCAGCAGAAAACATATGTGCATTTTAATATCTACATGTACACTATGTCAAAGACACAAATAAAACTTGATGCAAGAGTATTAAATTTTTGCTTGGGCCTGTGTTCAATTGAAATCTTTATGTTGGATGGTTAAATAAAAATCAAAGTATATTTGTAAACATGCTGTGTTTGATGTGGGCTAAAGTGCTCAGAGAAAATAAGTGGACTTAGAGAAGTCTTTGGGAGTTTTGTCACTGAGTTTCATGGGACCTGAACATTGCTCAAAAGACAAAGTCATCAACATTTACCAGTTGGTAACCATGCCTTTGTGAAAACAGAAAACTGGGAAAACCGTAAGTGTAAAATAGAATAAAAAAAAATCCCGAGATGTTAAACTGTAAAGTCTGGTTCAAATCCTGGTCTCACTTGAATCAGTGGCCAAACTGTAGCTGACCTCAGTGTAGTGAGACAGCAGTTTTCAAGTTCAAATCCTGATTTTGGTGTTGTCTTCGTGTATGCCAAGTAAAAYATACAAACATCACCTTTCGCTGCAATCTACTTCATGCTAATTAAATTAATATATTATTCATGCCTCTTGGAAACTTTTCACAGTGACTTCACCTGTACTAATTGCTGTCAGGCCAGTCACTGTTTGACACAAACAGGTGGTTGTGCATTTTGTTTGTTTGTTTGGGTTTTTTTTTGTTTTGATTTTATCTGTTTGGCATTTATGCTGCTCTTTTGTGGTTTGAAATTAAAAGTGGACAAGACTACAGCAAAAAGTACYCCTTGGTTATCCTTAAACTTTGCAACAGAGTTACAAAACCTTCCAAGTAGGGGACTTGTAATGAGAATTCTGCAGTGACCTTAGTGGTGGTGGCAGATTATAATATGCATGTTGCTAAGAGGTCTGGTTAATGAATGTCAGTAGGATTAGAAAACGATGAGTGAACTTTTTAAGGTTGCCATGCTGTGGTAGATTTTTATCACTAAGAACAATGGAAGGTGAGCGGTAATCTATGGACACTGCCTCTTTCTTTCCTCCAGAAATCAGTATCGTCTCTTATTAATTAAATTCAATACAGAACAATATAAATCTCTCAGTGCCTATTCCACTCATTTCATACATACTAATGAGGATGAGCTTCTGAAGCTGGTGGTTGGGATCATTTATTCAGTGGTGGGAAAAATAACATCAGGATCCAGACCCCCTGCTGACTTTGCACACTGTTGTGCTAGATTTATRTTGGCCTACTAATAAGTAACTGAATACATTAAATGAGACGCTCGTCACTGCAAGAGTTACAAGGGACTCCTTGTTTTTCTTCCTTGTGTATTCTTTGGTGAGGAGATTAGGGGAGATGGGCCCATTATGTAAGTCTCTCCTCTTGGTATTTCATCCACCGGTTCAAAGCCCTCTTTTCCAAACAGAAACYATGCCAAAGCTCTCATCAATCATTAAAAGTCCCAGCAGTTACAAACTCACTGATTTTGATGTGAAGTGCAACAGTCCTGCTCTTTTTAACGCATAAGAAAGTGAATCACACTATGCTTAGCAGTTCAAACTCTACATTGCACAGYGTGCATGATTAGTGAAGAGAGAAAAAACAGGGCATTCAGCAGCCAAAGAAATGTCTCTTTAGAGCTCCTCTTTGGGAGGAAACACAATGAAACAAGCAAGCAGGGTATTCCGGTACTGCATATATAGCTGAAAAAAAAAAAAAAAAAAAAAAAAAAAAAAAAAAA